CCGAAGGAAGCTAGGACTGCCAGCCACCCACGGAGGGTGGGGGCGCGGAGACCCCGCGCGGGACTGAGCTCCCCCCCACCCCTCCCCCGCGGGAGAACCCCTCCCCTCCCCCACCGCTGCCTTCGAACTTGAACTTCTAGTTGGAGGAGTTACAGCTCCCGGGGAGGGACAGCCGTCCGCGGGAACCCTTCTCAACACCCCCCCCCCGCACACCCGCGGCTTTGGCTTTAATGCCACCCTAGAAGAACCCACCCCCTCTCCGCCCTGGCCCCGCTCCTCGCCTTCTCCCTCCTCTTCCTCGGCGGGGGGGGGGCGCCCCACGCTGGAAGGGGAGATGGATGCCTGAACTTCCGTGCTTTGAAATGCCAAGGGAGGGAGGGAGAGGGGAGAGAGGGAGGGAGAAGGGGGGAGAAGGGGGGGCTTGGGGATATTTCATTTATTTTTATGAAAAACAATTTTGGGGGGTAGGGGTGTGGGTCCCCCTCCCCCTCCCCCCTCGGCAGGCTTAAAGACGTCTCCGGGAAAATGAGCCACACGGAGCGGTGGCGAGGAAGTGCACAGAGTTTGCGGGGCCGGGGTGCGGGCAGGGCCGGGGTGCGGGCAGGGCCGGGGTGCGGGCCCTGAGCTGGGATTGATGAGGACAGCTCCCCGCCTCTGCCGAGGGCACGCCGCCGGCCCGCACCGCGCTCCGCTGCACTTTCCCCGGAGAAGAAAGGGCTTTATCTCCTCCCTCAGACTGGGAGCCTAGGACTTTCTCGGGGCAGCACGGATCATCGAAGGGGTCCGCGGCGATCTGGAGAGCCCTAGGCATCGCCCACCCGCCTATCCCTCCTCCCCACCCCCCCACCTACCCCACCCCGGCCCCCTACCCCCAGACGGGGCCCACGGTACCCGACGCAAAGACTGGAGCGCGAGTTGACCCGGAACCGTCGCCCGTCGGTCGCCTCTGCGCTCCTCGGGGCAGCCCCGACTCCCTACTTTCGGCCTCTCCCTCCAGCTAGCGCCCCCCGGCATGGACCCGAGCCCACGAGGTGTCTCGGCCACAGCTGCCACTTGGTCGTCGCTGCGGGCCACCGCGGTCGCAGCCAACAGCCCAGCCGGGGTGGTTTCCAGAAAGTGAGGGGGTGACGTGTCCAGGAGGGAGCGGGGCGCCACACAGACGCCCGGACCCCCCCCCGGGTGTGGACCCCCCCCCGCCCCGTCCCCGGGTCAGACGGGGCCCTTCGGGTGGCGCCTTCCAACCTCTCCATCCCTCAGGGTCCCGCCACGCTCCGAGAACCAGTCCAGCTGAGCCTCGATTGTTGTTCTTTGCCTTGCCCTCCTCTCCACACCCTTCCCCACCCCGACCACACCCACCCCCTCCACTCCATCCTACCCTCCCCACCCCCGTCCCCCGCTACCCCCCCATCCCCCACCCCTGTCTGCCAGGTTGGAGGAGGGTTTAAAGCCAGGTGCGCCCAGTCAGCTCGCCATGTCCAGATCCGGAGACAGGACGTCCACCTTCGACCCCAGCCACAGCGACAACCTGCTGCACGGCCTCAACCTGCTGTGGAGAAAGCAGCTGTTTTGCGACGTGACCCTGACGGCCCAAGGCCAGCAGTTCCACTGCCACAAGGCCGTGCTGGCCTCCTGCTCCCAGTACTTCCGATCGCTCTTCTCCAGCCACCCCCCTCTTGGGGGAGGGGTCGGCGGCCAGGACGGCCTGGGGGCCCCCAAGGACCCGCAGCAGCAGCAGCAGCAGCAGCAGCCTCCACAGCAGCCCGCGTCGCAGCAGCAGCAGCAGCAGCAACAGCAGCAGCCGCCACAGCAGCCACAGGAAGAACCAGGGACTCCTTCCTCCTCCCCCGACGACAAGCTGCTGACCAGCCCCCGAGCCATCAACAACCTGGTGCTCCAGGGCTGCTCGTCCATCGGGCTGCGCCTGGTCCTCGAGTACCTGTACACGGCCAACGTGACCCTGTCCCTGGACACGGTGGAAGAGGTGCTGTCGGTCAGCAAGATCCTGCACATCCCCCAGGTCACCAAGCTCTGCGTGCAGTTCCTCAACGACCAGATCTCGGTGCAGAACTACAAGCAGGTGTGTAAGATCGCCGCGCTGCACGGCCTGGAGGAGACCAAGAAGCTGGCCAACAAGTACCTGGTGGAGGATGTGCTGCTGCTCAACTTCGAGGAGATGCGCGCCCTGCTGGACTCGCTGCCGCCCCCCGTGGAGTCGGAGCTGGCGCTCTTCCAGATGTCCGTGCTGTGGCTGGAGCATGACCGCGAGACCCGCATGCAGCACGCGCCCGACCTCATGAAGCGCCTCCGCTTCGCACTCATCCCGGCCCCCGAGCTGGTGGAGCGGGTCCAGTCGGTGGATTTCATGCGCACCGACCCGGTCTGCCAGAAGCTGCTGCTGGACGCCATGAACTACCACCTGATGCCCTTCAGGCAGCACTGCAGGCAGAGCCTGGCCAGCAGGTAGGAGACAACAAAGAGGTGGAGGGGGGAGGTGGAGGGGGTGGGGGGCTGGAGAGGCCGAAGGAAGGGGAGGGGGGCAGGGAGAAGGGGAGAAAAGGTTAGGCTGGGCAGGAGGCTTCAGCAGATTGAAAACAAATACAAACAATCCAGATGAGGTGGCCAAAGTTGATCTCAAGAGGCCCTGGAAGGTCAGTAAGGAGCTGGCCTGATAGCATCCTTTTGCTAGCTTCAATGCCCCAGGCTCGCCAAATCCCCAGAGTAGAGAAACCTAAGAATTGTGGACTAGGGCTGAAATTGACAGGCAGGTGGGGCCAAAGGCCTGGATGGACAGTCAGAAATGCAGTTTTGATGCCTTCTAGGCTAGCCCTCCTTCCAACCCTCCAAGAGAGTAGGTCTTAGCCACCTAGGATTTGGTGGCAAGACCTCCACCCCCTCCTCTTTCCTGCCCTGGGCTGGCAGAAGTGTCCAGACACTGCTGACAGAGGAGAGCTCGCATACTTGTTCTATCTTATGGACAAGTCGGTTTTTGTTTTGTTTTGTCTTCACTTTTGTGTTTGAGATCAGCCACCACCTCCCCACCCCCGGATTTGAACTCCACAATGATTTGCCCATTCAGGTAGCTGTTGAAAATACTATCATCATGTTTTGGCAACTAAACTTTATTTTTTTTAATGATGTGAGGAGCCTTTTTTTAAACTTTAAAAAAAAATAAAGAGCAAAGCAAATGCTTTCAGGGTGATGGAGTGACTATGATGGAGAGGAGGGATTTTCATCTCAAAGAAGAATGTGGTTGAAAACAGGGAGTTGGGAAGGAGAGGGAGTAGAGTCCTGTAACTCCAGTTGGTTTGTATGCTTGTCTATGGAGAAGTTAGAAAGCTGTTGGTGCTGGTCTTTCTATGGATTTCAGTCAAAAAGGAGAGAAAAATGATGCCTTTAAAAATGCTACTGAGATGAGAAAGCTGTAGGAATTGGCAAGCCTATTTTATTGGTTACATTTTTAAACCTTTTTTTTAATGAGCCCTAGCAAAGGGTTCTTTCTCTTTTTAGAAAAAAGAAACAGTATCCTTTCAGTTTCTCCTGACAAAACATCATGATTTCAGATGCCAGCCTACTCCAGTCTAAACCACCAAAGTGTTATATTAGGAAAAGTAGACTAGTCTGAAAATCTGCCCATGCGGGTTTTCCCCATGCAGAATGCTGTGGAAAGGATAGAGTACAGTCTGTGCAGCCTTGTGGCATTAAATGCCATGTTTCTACCAGAACTAGGTAACTTAAGTTTTAAGAAATGGAAGATAGTCCCTCCAGTTCTTTAGGTAGTACTAAGGTGAGGTCAACAGGGAACCTTAAGCAATCTTGAACATGGAATCCTGTAAGCTGAGTTTTCCCCCTCTCTCATCTGTAGTAGATCAGCTAAAGTATTATGGTGTCCAAAAACAATGCAGCAATAGCAGAAGTAAGACTCCAAACCCCCTGATGCTCGAACTCAGAGCCCAGGAGTTCAAGGGACAGCTCAGAAAATGTGTTTTTATTTTGTAAGAGTTTTCTTTCATGTATCCAAAGATCAAAATAAGAAACTCAGTGTGATAAGCCAATGTTATGATACCAATGGGAATTATAATTAACACTCTGATTTTAATTTTTGTCATATTTAAATGGCATATAGATAATATTTCACATTGCACATCAGTTAAGAATTGTAACTGTTACAATCGTAAATGTCACTCTGCTAAACATAACATATATTTTTGTGCATATATACATATAAATATATATAATCTAGAATAAACTCAGAAACCCAAAGGGATGACAGAATTCAGCTTTCATTTGTCCTAAGAGTAATTTTGCCAGATAAGCCTGATCGATTCGATCTAATAAATAATTACTGGAGCTCTCAACATACTTTTATATGTAAGTATGTTGAGGACTCAGTGTTAAGAGAGTTGACTTGAAAACTGCAAAATCTATTTCCCACCTCCTCTGGATTCAGCACATCAGCTGGGGCCTGCTGGCTCTGTCCTGGTGGATGTCAGAGATACCAGGCTGCCTGGCTCTGTGATGATACCTGCCAGCTTCACTGGGCCACATCATTTGAAGGATATGTAGTAGTGTCTGACCACTGAATGCTGACAAGTGTCATGGATGCTGTAAGAATCTGATACTTCTGTAGGAGGAAGAAAACTATATTTTCCTTTAAAAGAGGAAGAGAGAGAGAGAGAGAGAGAGAGAGAGAGAGCAAAGAAACAGAGATCCTGTGAACCTATTGTTGGCATCAGGGTAAAATCATTTAGATTTGCTCCATTCTTAGCAAAACTAAAGCAATTTAAATTGAAGGAGCAAATCACATTGTTCTAATTTTAATTCACTGAAAGAATGCAAAAATAGCCAGCACCATCAACCTTAACTTTAATATAAACGAAAATGCTGTTAGTTGGAACCCACTAGTATTCTTTGAACCCATTTATTATAACATCAGCCTAATATAAAAATGTTTTCCCCAACTTACGTGTAGTTCAACAGTAGCATTGCACATGTTAACCTATTATTATGGAGATTATATCACTTCCTTTGAAGACAATTTAATTGAAGAATATTTTGTTGATTACTTTTTATCTACCTATAATTTTTAGTCTAGATATAAAAGTATTTCTCAAATCCAGAAATGAGAATTGATCAGGGTATTGGAATGAATCTTAAATATCATCAGGAATAACTCCAAGAGAATTAATTTAAGAATATATGTTATCTAGGAAAGACAGGGATCTCAATAAAATAATGTTGAATGTTTATTGTTTAGAATGATAAAGCAGTCGAAGCATGAACTTCTAGTAGAAATACTCGAAACCAATCTAATTTTTTTCTCTTGTTGCTTGATTTTTCTGAGTATGCTATTTGCACTTGGATTCACATACTATTTTAGCAAACTAAACATTACAATGATAAAATAAAATTTGTAAATTTTTATTCAAATTTTAACTATTAAGTAATGTAAGATGACAAAACTTGGTAAAGGATATAAAGTTTTAGTTAAGAGGGATAAGTTTTAGTGATCTCTTACCCACTATGGTAATTGTTAACAACATAACACATATTTCAAAATTTCCAAAAGGTTAGATTTTTAAACATGCTCATCACAAAAAAATGTGATCCGTAGGTAAATAGTTTTATTTAATCTTTCTGCAATCTATGAATGTATCAAACCATCACATCAAGCCAAAAAATTATAAGAATTTTGCCTAGTTATTCTTATTAATTTTTTTAAATGACAACTATTACGATATTTGAAGTCATTTCTTTTGAAGGTTTCCTCTTCTTATTTCATTTTCATTTTTTTTGTAACATTATAAAACTCTTAATTTGGAGAAATACTAATTAAGTTCTTAGAGAAGTTCCTGGAAAAGTCTCTTCTTTTACAAAGCATGAAAATTTAGATTAATAACTTCACTTGATAGGTGGTGGTTAGTAAATTAAAAAGTTAATATTTAAAGTCTTGTGGTCAAAGTCATAGTATAAGAATAAGTATCAGATTACACTGTAGGCAGTTTGTAACTTTTAGTTCAGGAGACTTACAGTCTAAGTTAGCATATCAAATTCAGAAGCTTCTTTTTTATTTATATTTTTGGTTTATAATGCATAATTAAAGAGAAGATCTCAAATCAAACCAACTAGAGGTAGCTAAGATTTTACATTGCCATTACACTTCATCCAAAGTAACAGTCAAGAGAGAGCTTACTGAAAGTTGAATAACTTATGATTATGAAATACAAAAGGTTAAGTGTTGAGCTTCACCAGTGATTTATACAATCCAGGCTGCTGTTGCACATAACCAAGTCCCTTGGCCCTTCTCCTGGAAAACATCTGTAAGAGAAAAACATAGCTGCCAGATAATAAATATTTTACATAGTCCCATACAGAATTTCAATGTCAAAAAATAACATTCTACATAGTAGGAGACTTCCATACAAAGATTCCATTTTCTATGGACCATAGTATATTTACAGGTTTTTTTGTCATAAATTAATGATAAAATAGATTTAAATGTCAGGAGGACTAATTACGTATTTACTAGCTACCTATTTAAGGACCCTTTAGAGCTAGGTGCTGGTGCTTCACATCTGTAATCCTAGCTACTCAGGAGGTGACATCTGATGGTCAAGGTTTGAAGTTAACCCAGGCAAGTCCCAAAGACTCTTTTTTTTCTTTTTCTTTTTTCTGTTTCTTTCTTTCTTTCTTTCTTTCTTTCTTTCTTTCTTTCTTTCTTTCTTTTGCTGGGCTTGAACTCTGGGCCTGGGTGCTGTCCCTCAGCTCTTCAGCTCAAGGCTAGCACTCTACCACTTGACCACAGTGCCACTTCCGGCTTTTTCTGTTTATGTGGTGCTGAGGAATCAAACCCAGGGCTTCATGCATGTGAGGCAAACACTACCACTGGGCCACCTTCCCAGCCCCCAGAGACTTGTATTTTCAATTAATCATCAGAAAGCCAGAAGTGAAGCTGTGGCTCAAGTGGTAGAGCACTAGTCTTGACTAAATAAACTCAAGAACAGTGCTTAGGCCCTGAGTTCAAGCCCCATGCCTGGCACACGCACACACACACACACACCATTGGATTTCCTAATACACAGCTCCTGGTTTGGGTTCTTAGAAAGTATCTCTTTAAATGTATGACAGTATTTCTTATTGGCTCTCTTCCTGAAAACTGAATAACAACCTAAACAAAGCAAACCTATCTTGTATCCATGCAATCTCCAAATTGTTATTTCCATTTATATCAATTTGATACCCTCAGATTAGAAGTTGTTAGGTAGTTAGCTTTTGTATCAGGAGTTACTCAACCATTCAGAATACAATTTGTTTATTATCTGAAACAAGACCATTGATTACAAAATTATATCACATGTATAAAAACCAAATAGTTTTATCCTGTAATCTAAAGGCAATTAAAGTAGTTATTAATGCATCTTGTTGGCATAGAAGACTGACAAATGGACATTTTCAATTTTTAT